AAAATTTGACATTTTCCATATGTGGGTACTCAGACAGTTCCCGCACGCTAGTTGGTCACAAGGAAATGTGAGCCTACCAGCTCTTTCCCGAAACTTGGCCTGCGCTGTACAGTTGAGCCGAGTGGTTGCGCCCTGGGCACACACATTGTGAGGCCAACACATCACTCAGTGGCCGCGGACGAATGAGTGCAGCATTGTCGTCACACAACTGCTGCGAGCCAATGAGAATGCGGCAAACACTTGTGGCCTGGAGTCGGCCTGGATGAGCCCAACCGCAAAGGGCCCAGGCCCCAACTGCAGATTTGGGCCTGGGCACAGAGACTGGGGCCCGACTGGAAGCTACTTGAAGCATCCGCAGAGGCCAGGCAGCCCAACAGGGCAGCCACTCCCATATAGGGAGGAGGCCGGCCACTGGCTGTCCATTCTGGCCTACGCAGGCAATGCAGAAACGCTGCTGTGTTGCAGCGCAAGTATCTACATCGGCGTTGCAGGGCTGTAGGGCGCGAGGCGGGTGAAGGGCGACAGGGGGTCTTCAGGAGGAGGTGCAAAAGTGGGTGACAGGCGGTGATGAGGGGAGACAGAGATACATACCTGGTGTATGTGGGAGGTCGGCATTGGTGTTGACGACGTGTACATTGGTCTTCGAACTCAAAGTGAGCCTGTTGTATGAATGTAGATAGGCTAGGTAGGCGAGTAGAGTAGGCTGGGCACTGGGTGCCAGACAGAGAGGAGCAACATTGAATATTGCGTTGGTGTGGCCTGAGGGCTTGAACATTGGCTCACAAGTTCATTGTATTGCTCTTATTTGGACTATCTGGTGCATTTGAGCTCTCTGCTTGTACATGACTATCTGGACTTCTACGTGATTTTGCAATCTGGTTTTCTGTATATTGCTCTCGCTCATATTCCTTGCAATTTGGTATCGGCGTTGTTTCGAGATCTCCTATCTGTCGTCGGCGACATTGTTGCTTGGTGCACTGACGATGCTTCTATGCCGTGGGGATGCATTGGCACTGGCTTATTGGAGCGACACCCAGGTAGAGGGGTGCATCACTGGAAGGCTGTGGCGACGGGCTTGGGTATACCGGATCCACATCAACAAAATATAGCATTGCTAAGTAAGTGGGTGATAATGGCTTTGTTTGAATGGGAAGGTAAGCTGTGGGTGAGATTTGCAGAGTACATCCTAGGTAATGAGTGGTCACTTAATTCTGAATCTGATGTTTGGAGAGTGATCATGCTAGGAGCCTATACCAGTAAGAAGCCGAAATCTAAAGTGTGGACTGCCATTCTGACGGCATGGAAACAGATTTGGCCAGACTTGCTCAGACAACCAGAGACCCGGCGAATAGAAGCATTAAAGCAGTACTTATTTGAGAATTCCTTTATTATACGTAGTAACAGAGAGCCATTTCGGATCTCAAAGGAACTGGAGGACTTTGGGAAAAGCTGGGTAGAAAAGGGTATAGTGCAGGTCAGAGACCTATGGGATGCAGATCTAGCAGATTGGATTTCCACAGCCAAACTGAAGATAAAAACTAACAAGACCGTGGCTACGGAATGTAGACTTCAACTTCTCCCTCATTAAGCAGGCTACTCCATCCTTCTGGAAGAGATTACTGAACGAATTTGCTGAGCATGGGGAGGCAACATGGCTCTTTCATCCGACGGATACCAACCCCCAACGCATTCTGGGGGTAGTGGGACCAGAACTGGGAGGGGGGATGGAAGTGAAGGTCTGGACGACAAAGAAAGAGGTAAAAGAAGGATCCCTATTGGGCACAGAAGTCGAGAAGATCGTACAGACAACTGTGGGCCTGTCGGAAGCCAGAGTTCTACTAGACTTGGGTAGTAACAAGGTACATCAATATGTGCTATTAAAGAAGGAAGCCAAGGACTACAAGGTCGAACCTTTACTGTTTGGTTGGAAGGGGACTCCAAACACGGGTGGCACTCCGGTATACAGATATAAACCAAAGTTAGGGGTAACCTTCCAAAGACAAAAGGTAAATAAAAAACCAAATGAGATGGCTTTGAAAAGATTTCGAAAACAAATTAGCTTCCACGATAAGCAGCCGGATTTTAATGATATCTGGAGGGTTTTGAAAAAGATTCCTTCTGGAGGGTTTTGAAAAAGATTTCTTCTCAAAGGCACACGGGTATGATGTGGTTACAGGCCATGCAGGCCACAGCATCAGCAGTATGGCTGGAGGGGAAGGGAATGCCAATAGATATCCACTGCCAGAGATGTGATTGGGGCTGGGAAACTAGCACTCACCTATGGTTACATTGCCCGCTGTCTGAAGAGCTCTGGCGGTGGTGGAAGCATTACTGGCACAACACAGTGGGGGGCGAATCGGAGTGGTCTTACGATTGGATCCTACATGCTATCCCTCCACAAAAGTCGAACTTCACGACGGGTTCGGGTTACGTGGCCTTCTTCTGCAGGGGAGCAATCATGAGTGTAATCTGGAAAGCAAGAAATGCAAAGGTTTTCAGAGATGAAAAGATGTCACTCCAACAACAGATAATTCTAGTAAAAGAACAGATTCGGTTGGCCATTCGCTCGGACTGACGGGTCATGAAGAGCAAAAGTGCAAAAACTTCAAGATTTCGTCGTTCCTGGGCAAAGGGCAATATTTGGGCATCAGTCTCTATCGAGGGACGTTTGGAGGTTTCCAAGTGGCTACATCCAGGTAGCAGAGTTCTTGATAGGTGGCAGTGCCAGACCGAGAGATTAAAGTGACAGTTGGTCGCCCTTTAGACCATAGGAAGTAAACAGGCTGTATAAGTGTGGTGCTTAAGGATGATATTACTACAGCCTTCTTGGTATTTTTGGACAGCTCAGTGTTTTAAACTGAGAGAGTAAAACGGACAGTGGGTTGTATCTAACCGAGAGATATAAACAGGCTGAAGGACTGGGGAGTACAAGGCAGATTTAATAACAGCCTCCTTTTTACTGTGCTTCAAGGCATTTTGCGAAGAGTGGTTTCTATTAGTGATTGAGTAGTCATGGAACGCTGGACCCGGTTTCCAGCAAGCTGTTCCTTGGCATCTCCGGGTCGAATTTGTTTTTTTTTGTTTTCTGTTTTTTTTTTAAAGATACATCTTCTCAAAAAAAAAAAAAAAAAAAAAAAAAA